GAATGTCATGGCTGGCTTCATCTTCTCTCTAACCACTAAAACTTTCTCCATATCAGCAATAAGGCTGTTTTTGCTTTCTTATCATGTGTGTGCTCAACAGAGTGGCATTTTTAATTTCCTTCAAGCACTTTTTCTTTGCATTCACAACCTGGCCATGTGGCACAAGAGGCCTAGTTTTTGGCTTCTCTCTTTTTCAGCATGCCTTCCTCACTAAGCTTAATCATTTCTAGCTTTCGATTTAAAGTGAGAGACATGAAACCCTTCTTTTCACTTGAACACTTAGAGGCCACTGTATGGTTATTAATAGGTTGAATTTCAAAATCTTTGTGTCTCATGGAATAGGGAGGACCAACGAGCCCCAGAGAGACAAGGGAACAGCCAGACAGTGGAGCACTCAAAACAAACACATTTATCAATTAAGTTTGCCATCTTACGTGGGCACCACTCATGGCTCCCCAAAACAATTACAATAGTGACATCAAAGATCACAGACCACCATATCAGATATAATAATAATGAAAAGGTCTGAAATATAGCACGAATTTTCCAAATGTGACAAAAGAGACATAAGGTAAACACATATTTTTGAAAAAATGGTGATGACAGATTTGCCTGACGCAGGGTTACCACAAACCTTTATTTATAAAAAACGTAACATCTACAGAGTGTAATAAATGAAAGTGTAATAAAACGAGGTATGCTTGCATATGTATATATGTATATATACACACATACATACACACACTTAGCTTGAAATTTAGGATATGTGGTTATAACTCAGAATCACTCTGCTATAGAGTACACCCTACAGTGACTATGGAATCACACAACTTCTATTTATTATTCTCCTGCTGAAAAACTGGGTGATCTCAGTAATAACAAACCATTTTTATTAACGAAGTGCTTATGATCATGTAGGACATATCCCACGTAATCAAAATAAAACTTCTAAAATATCCAGCGAGAACCACAAAACATTATCTCTAAAATGCTACTCCTCAAGAAAGGTCCTAATATATTCAAAATTAAAACAACCTATTGAAAAATAAGACAGTCATTAGTTTTGAGGAGGAATTGTGTGCTCATTTTGGAAAAGAGGAAAAATGTCATAAAATTAACGCAAAAAAGTAACTATAAGAGGAAATCTCTGGATATCAAAATGTCATATTTTTTAATCCCATATTAAAATTAGGTGCCAATACAAATATTAAAAAAAAAAAAGATGGCACATATCATTAAAGGCCCATAAAAGGTCATTAAGGCAAAGATGTACAACGTGAAAAAAAATGCAAAAATACTTCTTGCAAGTTTTTCCAATTTAGACCTTGAACTCGGCACTACTGAATACCAAAGCTTATAGAAGTGAAATTCAAACATAACAGAGCTTTTGAATTTAAGGCATGTATTCTACCAAGGTATGACACTGAGCTAACCTTTTGGGATAATATAATGCCACTCTTTTCTACAATAGCTGACGGCTAGAATGCTCAGTTTGCTCCTCTCCGTAAATATCCTAAATATAATTGTTAAAATTAAAAATAAGGCCTTAGAAATACTATTTTGAATAGTCTAAGCACTCCCATAGTTAATGATATACAGAAATTACAAAGATTAGAAACAGAACAATCATTATCATTATTTATAGAAATAAATATTCAGTCGTTTGACATTCACCAAACCTGTTTTACACATCTTATCTAAACTGATTCTTCTCCCAAAACCTGTGCCCAGGTACTATTACTCACAGCCTATGGGTGAGAAGACTGCACTCTAGAGAAATTACAGAATTACTTTAAGACTGGTTTTATTCCAACAGAGCCACATCACAAAAAGGAAAACATAGCTACAACCTATGGGACTTCTAACCATAGCTGGACATGAGTCTATTCCAGAGAGTCGCGTGTCCCAAAAGGCACTGTGATGATTGAACTTTCTTTTAATTTGTATTGTGCATTTCTGGAGAACAAATAAACTCGAAAAGAGGTCAAAGTGCTCGTTATAGAAAAATGCAAAATAAAACAAAAAGTTCAGAAAATACTGTGATCCACATTTATGACAACTGAAATAATAAGCATGCCCCCCATACTGTAGGACTGGCTCCTCCAGAAATACATAGTGGACCTAAAGTCTTTATTATTTGAATATTAAAGCACAGTTTCTGGTGCTGTGCTTTCAGTACCTTTCTTCTAATAATGTAATTATTTAGCTTAGACGTTTGATGGCAAACTGTAGTTATTAATAATTGGTTTAGTATTATTTTCATCATGAGGTCATGGTTTTCTTTTAAACACATTACTTTAAAAAGAGTTGCTGTACTAAATCATACATTAAAGGGATTTTTTTTGTAATAAAGCATCTCTAATTTTAAATACTATCACTTATGAAATCAACTCATGTTGTCAACTGAAAAATTCTCCCCTACAGAAAGCAATACTAGAAGTTGAAGTGTTGCAAATTAAAAAGAAGAATCTAAACTTCCCCATTTTAAAAAATATATATTTTAAAGTTAATGAAGGGGTCCAGAGATAAATCCTGTCACCTACAATTTAAAATGGCCACCTCACATCCAGTTATATATCAACTATTTTCTTTACCTAATATTAGGCACACTGGAAATCTCAAGGCAAAAATGAAGCAGTTGGATACAAATTCCATGAAACAATATAGCTCAGTTATTGCAAAATATCTCTTGTGGAAAAATTTCAGAACAGCTCTACTAAAAATACTAATTTTCCTGATATGGCCTTACTAATATAGACTTCTAGAAAAGGAAATTAATACAGAGGGTATAAAAAGCATGCCCTTAAGAATTAATTTAAAAAGAAGCTTGATGATGTAAAGAAGGCAAAAACTTGATAGGGATCCACGTATAGCAACTGTCTTAAAAGTTCATAATTTAAGAAAAATAAAAGGCCTCAGTTTCCAGAATGCTAAAAATATAGTAGCCTTATATACATATATAGCCTTAGCCACTCCAAAAGGCTTCATGTGCTTGTAAAACTATTACATTATAAGGTAAATTTTGATTTACTGAATATGACTTTATAGTTTCTGATTGAGAATGCATGAGACACACACTTCTATCTACTCCAGAATGTTTATGTAAGTAAATATACTTCAAAGTATCAGAAACACTTTAAGCAGCTCCTTGAAAACTCTGTATGAGAAAGTACATGACTAATTTAAAGGCTAATAATACATTTTCATTAATTAAAAAACTAGTACTTTATCTCAGTTTTAGTTATCTCAATAAAAAATGGGCAATTTTGTTATATTCATTTGAGGTTATTTTTTCAGGCTGTCCTTCTTTGCCTTATTCCTGGACTCATTAATAATCTATGCCATCATTTTAAATTTTTTCATATTTACATTAGTGCTTAATTTTAATATGTGACTTAAAAAAAAATGACTTTTTGAGAGCCAGAGATCTCCTCCCATAGTAAGGAACTCTCTTTTTTGCATTAATCTCATGCCTCTTACAGGTCGTCCAATGATCACAGGTGAATAATAAGATTTAAGGATGAGTAACTGCTGATGAACCCAATTTGGGATCTGGCAAGAGGAAATCAGAGCGTCAAATAAAGGAGGGGCGGCAGCAAAGAGGAAGCAAAAGACAAGACAAGAGGGAAGAGAGTTTATGGAGAAAGGAAGCCAAGTTGGGAAGTGGGGAGAAGGGCAGGCTGGCCAGGGGATGCGACGCGACAGGGCAGAGGGAGTGGGGAGAGGCGGGCAGGAGGCGGCCTCCACGCAGCTGGCAGGGCAGGCAGCGCTGGGAGAGGGAGGAGGAGAGGAAGGCTGCAGGCACCGCGCAGCAGCCGAGGATGAGCGAGGTAACCGGAGGGAACGGGCGCACACAACTGCTTCCGCAGGACTTCCTGCGATAACACGCCCACAGCCCGGGCGCCGAGCACGCGTGGTGGCGGCCTCAGGCCCGGGGCTCCTGAGAGAGCGAACGCCAGCGACACACACGCAGCTCCTGTCGTGTCGCCGCTGCCGCCTAGGCAGGGCCGCAGACAGCAGCCTCCTTCCCAGACTCAGCCAACTCACTCTCACCGTAGTTGCTCCAGAATCCGTGAAAAGAAAATGCAACGCTATTTCTGTTCCTGATCTGCAGTTCTGATTTTTTTTTTTCTTAAAAATAAAAGGAAAAAATTTTTAAAGAAAATGTCCTATATTATCATTATTATTACTACTATTTTTATTTCTCTGGTTACACTATCCATTAAAGCACACTGAGTCTTTAAAGCTCTTTCATAAAATATAAATTACTTAAAAATCTAACCGACACACTGGATAATAACTGATGCAAGTACTGTTTTAAGTCTAACCCAAACCACGCTTTCTTTTGTGTGTGTGTGTTTGTAACACACATAAGCCACCTCAGATTCAAAGCTGTCAAGACCCCATGTGAAGCAGGGGTAGTTACCCAGGAGTATAAATACACTAAGAAATACAAAGCTATAGGATTATCAGGACAGTACCACATCCCTGTCATTCAACAACTTCCCCTTACAAGAGGGTGCTGATCACAGACTTTTTACTGTAATGGAGCCAAGAAGAGAGTTACTTAAACTAATAGAGTTCTTTTTTTAACCAGAGACAGCAGATATCGCTACAGAAAGAATACTGGTTGGATGTTTCCTGAATTATTACTAAAAACATTTGTTTAAATGTCTCGTATATAAAGGTGACGGCCTTATCTCTCTGACAATGAATTAGGGCCTAAGGAGAAAGCAAATTGGAACAGCGTTAACATTAAAAAGTCATCTAGTCTTTGAAATACTATTATAATACTACCTTGGAAGATAGAGCAACTCAAATCTTGTTCACCCACCAGATAAGACACAAAGTAGAGGGAGCCTCAGCTCTTAGGGCCAGGCTGCCTGGACTGAAATCCTGACTCTGCTACTTGCTACCTGTTGTAGCCTAGGCAATTCATTATACTTTCCTGAGCCCCAGTTCTCTCCATTCTATAAAACGAACATGACAGCACTTTCTACCTCAAGTGAAGACAATACACAGCAGACTGCTCAACCAATATGAACCAGGATCAGCATTTTAAGGTGGCCCCAATGGAAGACGAACCTCTTGAAATGCAGCCTTTCCCCGGCCAACCTAGCTCACCTATGGCCTGTGGTTGCGCTCACTTTTATTTAGTAATCAGTGCTTAGCTGCACATCTACCAAGTCAGTTATTACTACACGCAGCTCATTTCTATGCAAACCGTGTCCAGCCTTTGGGCAAAGTTTGCATGCCCTCTGCTCCCTGATGTTCACAAGTGAAAACACGAAGCCCAACACATTTAATAATGTCCTCCTTCCCATCATTAAAGGGCACCATGCAGCTTTAGCAGCCAGGAAACTAGCCCAGCACACATGCTGTGCAGCTGGCAATAGAGGCATCTTCAACAGCATCCACTCCTACATACAGTCTGATAAGGAACATTTTAATGGAGCCAAAACATCCATTTCCTTCCTCTATTTCTGCATTTAGCAAACAGGGGAGCTGGACAATCGTATCAGGGATTATGAAATGGCCACTAAGGCTACCAGAACAGCAGGTCTAAATTTCGCCTACTCACTTTCAACCAAAAGTATGCACCCTTTCAGTTGTGGAAAAGTACAGAGGATTTTAAAAACCCCTACTTATTAACTAGCATGTACTCTACAGTGGAACTGTTTCTACTGTCGCTTAATTTGCAAAATCCAAGCAGATATTACTTTTAAAAATCCAGTGAAACTGTTTCTACTGTCGCTTAATTTGCAGAATCAAAGCAGATACTACTTTTAAAAATCCAACTATCCCTTTCAAAGGATTTGTAAAGTTGCTTACAGACTTAAGGTGACATCAGAAAAGCATGTTGGTATAATGCAGTTAGCTAAGGTTTCTAGGAAGCTTTGGAATGTTTTGTTTTTAAAGAAGGGATAGATAAGTGCAAGTCCTACAAGTAATGAACTGTCCTAGAAGCAAAGAAATTCATTAAATAGATCTCCTTGATTTCTCCTTCATGGTCCCATGTCCATACAGATTTGGGAATGCACAATAATAGCAGGGCTTAATTTTCCAGAGCTGCTTAAAGTAATATTTAGGCGCTTAACAGAGTTAAATGTTAAATCAAAGGGACTTCCCAATTCTCAGATAAAATAATTTTTTAAGTTAAAAAAAAGAAATTCTTAAACTTCAAAATTGTTCCCAGGATTTTAAGACAAAATTAAAAGTGATTAGTAAAAATCAAACATTCAAAGAAATCTCAGAGGCATTGTTGTTCCAACATGAAAAACGTCTCAGCAGCTATTATTCAGTTATCACTTGATTGGCTATCACTCAGGGAAACATGAATATTAAAAATATTTGAGCAAAGAGGAATACAATATCCTCTTGCTGCCATAAACCTGGGCATCTTAAAGCAACATTACCTATGGTTGTGCTCAGCTCCTAACCCTACTCATCAATATTCATGTTACATCTCCTGAGTCTAAATCACCCTTGCCCCCTCAGCATGCAAGCATTGGACCCACTTACAAGTAACTTTCATCCTGAAGCCAAGACATAAGCCATTGTCCTCAAACATCACAACACAACCTTTGGGCCTGAGAATATTCAAAACATGGACGTTAAAAAGGCACATTTCTGACTCATGACCTTAGAGCCTAACGCTGTTATCCTCAGTTAAGGACACATCATTTATCATCTTGCATCTCTGATGAGTTCATGGTGTCTCACATATAATATCAGTAAAGTACAAGGCTGCTTGTGTTCTCCTTTTCCTATATTTTTCAAATGAATTCAGGCTTCCCCTTTGCCTTAGTTTCACTGGCACTGTTCCACTTCGCTAAATGACATTAATCGATAAAAGGCAGGATTTGAAAGCACACTGCAAAATACAACATACTACGTTGCAACCAGTGGTATCCTACCTTAGGAACGATACATTAGGGCAAACATCAAGAAACATATATAACTTATGCAATACCAGGTAATATTTATTTTCTGCTGAAACCCTCACAAACCAATTTCACAATTTTCTTAGTACCTGAAAGTCTATGTTGCCAGCCAAAGTGTTCTTCCCCTATGTTCCTATTTAATGCAACACTTTTCAGAACCACTGCGTCCAAGTCATTTGTAAAGGGAACAAAAATGAATTAGGTATGCTCTCACTCTCCTCAGGTTCGGGATGCCCAGTAGCTCCTGGTATGAGCTATGCTAAAGCCACACATAAATGGGAGCACAAGGCGAGGATGTTTTAACCTAAATGAGCAGAAGTAGAAAGTTTCAGGAAGAAGAATATAGAAGCAAACATACCGAGGAACAGGTAGAATCCCTGTAGTTACGGCTGCATAGAAAGCATTTCATAAAGAGGGAAGAATATGAACAAAAGTCAGTGTGAGAATGTTCTAGGACTAGAAAGCACTACAGTAAGGATAGACACATGATGTAGTACAGATGGAACTCGTAAATTGGGGGCAAATTGAAGGGTCCTGAATGCCAAGTTAATGATGATAAACAAGTTTAAAAGCAACTACTTAAGGAGGCTGAGTTCCATATTGGAACCCAGAACCAAGTTAGGTCTAGAGGTGAAGGCTCAGAAGTTACTTCATTTGGATAAAAAGCTAAAAGCATAAAACCCTCCAAGAAAATTGCATAGATTAAGAGAACATTCAATGACAGACTAGAACAAGTGTGGCAGAGATGCAGTGCCTGGAAGCCAAGCCAGAAGAGATACTCAAGAGAATGGCTGGCAGCATCCAATTCATCTGAGAGATGCAGTCAGATGGAAAGACCATTGGGGCCTGGCTTCCATGAGGCTACTGGCGACTTCAATACAGCAATGTCAACAAACAGAGGAGCCTTGGCAGATATCGCTTAGTTGAGAAATGGAGATTCACATGAAATGAAACCCAGATTCGGGCATTCAATATTTTCTCCACTCTGAGGTTATTTTTATTTTTATGTCTGAGTAGGTTTCTCTTTTATCTGAAACAGAACAAACTCCGTATCCAACTTAAAAGCATTCTAATTAATAAATCTCAACAAGCAACGTTTTGACTTTACCATGTCACTTACAAGTTGAAATCCATCTGGAAATAAATAAAAAGTAGCTGTTTGTTTTGTTTTACCTTGTCTTGTTCTAAACTTTCAAAGGAGCCATATTCAATACTTGTTGTTACCTAAAATCCATCCCTTGCTTAAAACCTAATCTATCTGTCAGCTTCATTAGCCATGTATAAGGTATAGAATTGCATTTGGACTCTTCCTAGATTCCAAGAATGGTCCATAATCAGTCTACAACTGGATTATAATCCAAATACCAGAAGATAATGCTATTTAACTAGCTTCTATAAAATATCCACGATAGTCTGTGTTCACAAATATGCCTCATGAGAACAATTATAAAATAGTTTAAAGAATGTCTGAAAAGGAGTTTTCCAAAGTAGGTGACTACATTAGCATAGTTGTGATTCAGGGCATTTTCAATACAGTTAAGTGTATACTGATTTATCAGGAAGGTAAATCCCTTAAGAGGTGGAAATAAACATTAAAATATAGCAACTCATCTTATTTAAACCTTATCTGGATATCACCTGTTATAAAAACCAACCAAAAAATAGTGCTTTCTGATAAACAAAGCCCAGAATAAGAATTCTGTTGCCTTATTTTGATCTGCAATGCCAAGAGTACATGAAAAGGTTCCAATCTCTCAAAGTCAAAGAAGAAAACGAGATATTTTACATACAGGGGGAGAATTATGTAAAAAATAAATAACATTAACAAAATCATTAAAGAAAACTAGGGCTCATAAGCACTGATAGGGTTTCCTCTGGTTCTATAAGGTATACAATGAATGACAAATTATAATTCACAGTCTGGGTGAAAATAAACTTTGCTATATAGAGATAATAGCCACAGGACGAGAAGGAAAAAAACTAGATGATTATGTAATAATAATGGAAGTTTTCAGCCTTTCTTCATATAGTACGCTCACCACACCAAGAAAGAAATTTTACGTGGGATGATCAGCATAATAGTCAAAATAGTTCCTTAACCCATTTTAAAATTGCTTTTTAATGTTAAACATCATTCTATAATTTTCTGATTTAATTGATTATATCTGATGGAATGAGTAAGATTATTTTCCACCAGCAAACTGTTTCATTTAAAGGAATAACTATTTACAAGCTATTTATAAAAAAGGCTTTTCACTTGAAAGAAACATTAAAGAAACAAAAACAAAAACAAGAAAGACAAGGCTGCCTTCTGGCTAAGAGACAGAGAGGAAAACCCATGCAAATGAAAGTACAATGTCTTCTTCACCCTGCGACTCAGGATGAACTGAACGGGGTTCAAATACAGACCCTGGACCAGCCCAGGCGTTTCCAGGGCCTGACACACCTCCTCCTCCTCCACCTCTTCCAGCATTTCAAAGACATTTCTGGAGCTATGCTCTGAAAGAGCTTGGGGCTGTCTTAGGTTCAACATCTTTCTGCATGATTTTAAAGAAATATTTACCACAATTCTTTAAAATCCAGAGGTGAAAATGACAACAGCATTGGGGTTGTAATGTGTGAATTTCACTTGTGCAGGCATTCACCCTTTGGACTATACAATATAACTATTAGGTCTGGAAGACAAGAAACAAGGGATTTACGTAAAATACCTCTGAAGTCTAAGAAGACAGAGAATTATTCCTGTATTTCCACTCCAACAAAGTAAATGATTAAAATTAGCTTCACTGTAATCAATAAACATAAATTGCATCCATGTTGTATGGTAGAGGCATGGCTAAAAATGGAAAGTTGAGAAATTCTAAAAGAAAAACAGAGGCATTAAATGTACATTTTAAATTATTTTCACTACATTTGAAGTTGAAATTGATCATTCAAAAGACAGGATTCACAAGGAAAGTATTTAAAATAAATGAGGTTCTTTTATTTTTCTTTCATTAGTTTTTTTATAAATGCTGAGGAGTTTATGTAAAACACCACTTATGGTTTTTCCAGCCAGATTTTAATAACTAATTGCACATTTCAAGCCTAATCTCACAGATGCTGTCTACAGTTCTTCAACCTGCCAAGGGAACTATGGCGTTATGAATAAAGAAACATCCATTTCATGGAAGATAAAAATATCCTTAATTCAAATGGACTATTTTTAAAAATATTACTCTCTATGTAGATAAATGTTAAAGCTGCTTTAAGCTAAAGGAAAAGAGTAATACAAACTTAGCTTCTTATTAATGACCATTTTCATAACCCGTTTTTCAGTACCAATTAGATTTTATCTAAATGAATCCAACATTTCTATCGCTAAGGTGTTTGAAAAAAGCATTAAGCCTAGATTTTTCGCAGTAATTCTTTAACTTTCTGTGACAGCTTCTAAACATTTGATACCCATCAATCTAAAGTATTGATAAAGAAATCATGTGAATAGATCAACTGATTCATTATGATCATCAATTTCTCACTGCATCCTAATAAATGACATTTGAATTCTATTCTCATATCCATGTGCAAAAGGAAAAATAAAGATTAATGAATCTTAACTAGTGAGCAGATTTCCTCAGCAAACATCAAAATCATCTAGTGTTTGACATATGAATGAGGATGGTGAACACACCCAAGTTCTAGTTCAGTTCTTTAACCAAGTAGGTGGAAGTCACCTTTATGTTCAGTTTTTTTGTTTATAAAATAAGATCATGCTAGAATAGACAGTAGTTCAAGTCCTTTCTGTCACTCAGAATAAAACATGACCCAGTGGTCACTCTGATATACCTGAAGTCAAGAAAAACAAAGAAGTAAAACCAAACTTGAACAGCAGATTTTAGACTGACCAGCTGAAGAAAGTTCCACCATTGAGAAAAGAAGTGTTTCCTTGGCCAGGGTCTATTTCTCCATAACAGAATGTTAGAAGACTCTTAAGCCTAAACCCTTATTTTTTCCTTTTATGGGAAGCTGAACATTGTACACTTTGGCACAATGTGTGCAAAGCAGAATAGATGGGGGCCAGCTCTTATAGTGAAATCACAGAACTAAGCGAGTCACCTCAGAGACTACACCATTTACCCTACATCTGACTTCAGAGAGGCGATTTCATTTATTCTTCTGTTTATATGTTTTTGCGCATGGCTTTATTAATGTAACCTAATGAAATAAAATGTACATTCTGTTAGCTCAGAAAGTCACTTAATATATACGTACATGATCTTTTGCCAAAAAAAAGAGTTGATCAATTATTTTTACAATGGTGTTTATGAAAAGAAACCCCTACATTCTCCCACATTAGGAAAAAGATGAAAAGAGCTATTGAACTTTTCATAATTTATCTGTACATAGAGGCTTTGAATTAAATCTAAAAACATCATCCTGCCTCTTCTATTGTATTCCAAATGGGCAAATTTTTTAAATTACACTTTCAAAATAACACGTTAACAAGATTCAAAATCAGCACATTATCTTAATTACACAACACCGATGTGATTACATCGGACCAAACATTTTGGCAAAACGTTTGCCTGACATCACAGGAACCAAACAAGGGGGTGGCTAGTTGAAATGTCCACATTTCTACCAGTGGAGACACCAAAATATTGTTAAATACACTCTACTAGCAATAGAAATAATGAGCTCTCTCAGAACCAATTCCACTTTCCAGGGCCTAGTATGGGTAATGTATTAGAGATACTAAGTTTGCAGTTTGGTATCTGAAATTTACTTAGGGCCTAATGCATTTATTCCTCTAATGAAAATGTTTTCTAATAGTATTCAAGATGTATGTGCAGAGCTGTTACTTGTTTACAGTAGCAGCTTATTTGTCTTTATACATAATTATAATTTAAGAATGCCGATCATCTCAGGCAAAGCGGTCGAAAAACAAAAACAGCCGACAAAACCAGAGAAAGCTTTCTTTATTCTAAAATGTCTTTATATTAAAATATGTCAGATTAAAGTCTCCACTCTACATACAGATTTAATTTTAACCCTGTGTCTGGGCAGTATTTTAAATTTTTTTATCACTTTTGGAGAATTCCACAGAACTATCTTAAGCTAGTTTCAAACCTGGTAAAAGTTGTGAGTTCTTTTTTTTCTTTTTCCTCCCATCAAATTTTGAGATATAAAATGCATCATGTCTAAATGAGAAATAATCAAATGTTATAGTATTTTACATCATTCATAGTTTTCAACTAACCACAAAAATACTATATGATAATTTTCCAACATCACTGTTTTTTTGAAGTGAAAATGACTTATGAAAGGATTTCGCTCTAACTACTCTTTAGAAATGACCAAAATATCTTATCATGAAAAGGTGTGATAGGAGAACTGAAATCACTGATGTCTCAATTTCTGATGCATCAAAACGTTTCTGAAAAAACAACACAAGAGAAAATAATACAAAATAAGTGCAAAATTCATTTGCGTTTTATAGGCAATAACAAGGTTTCTAGAATAAGAAAACCCCAAAAAGATAAAGTACTTCCTCTACTTTCTGATAAGCTTTAAAAGAAAAAAACTAAACCAAGTATTTCACAATCAATGGACTTCAAGTAATCCAAGAGAATTTGGGAAACATTTCTCTAAAAACTAATCCAGAATACAAGGTGTCAGTTTGGAAATAATGGAAGCATATTTCGTTTTAAAAATCTAAAACTTTTTAAAGACAAAAATTCAAGTTAACATCCCAGTGATTAACTCTGGAACTGCTTAGCCAAAAACAACTTTCGGCACTTAAAACATAAAACTGTCAGTTTCCTCTGCTTGGAGACAAAACATACAAAAAGCAAACATTCACAGTTATATTTTCCTAGACATGAAAGATAGAACTAACTTTCATAAAAGGTGATCACTCTGAGTATTTCTACCTGCTATGATATTCATGTCGTAGCTCCTAAAAATCAGTTACAAATTCCAAACCTCAGAACTATCCTTAATAGATGGCTACTATTCCAGTTTGCGTTACTCCCTAAACTTGATGGAAATACAATCATTTATTGAACTACACTAGCTCAACGCATAAATATGTTAAGCAGCCCGTGACTGATGTTATTGAATTTATAAGCTACCAGAAACAAGTAAACTCCTTACTGTAGACCTCAAAGAGTTGATAACATGATACTTGGCATTCTACTTCTTGGGAATCTAAAACATAATGATATTGAGAATCTTTTAAGTATTCTTCTGCCCTAAATCCAGAAAACATGACTTTCAAGCATCATCCATGGTCAAATGGTCAAATTCATATTTATAAACTTGGAATAGAGAGTTTGGTGGAAGTATTGCATAACTAAAATTGACTTTTTTTTTTAAGCCAGAACTATGTCACAGTTGGTGCTTGTAATTGTTTCAAAACTTTTTTTCTTTATTTAATTCCATGCTATGCATTTCCTTATAGAAATGGAATAGCAAACTCCTACTCAATAGCAAACAATAAAATAAAATAAAATCAAGTATGTAAGCTTCTTCCTCTTCTTAGACACTGCCTCCAAAATGGAAAAGTTATACAGAAAGGTAAGTAAAAATCCTGCAGCTTACACATTTTTCCACTGAGAAGGTAAATCCTTACTCCAGAAACCAAAATATTAGACCCCAAACAGTGTGGAGGGAAGAGGGGTAGGAGGTTGAGAAAAAGAAAAAAGTGATGATCAAGCAGGGCAGAATAAACCAGAGGAAGCATGCTTGGTCTCAGCATAATTTTCTTTAGCATCCTAAAATCAACGACATCACGCAGCCTATGATCTCTGCTTACTCTTCTGAAAACCATTCAGAGGATTTTCAAAACGGAAGAAATCTAGTTGTGCTTCCAAATGCCAAATGAACTAACAGGACCTTCCACTCCTGAAGGAAAACAGCACAGTAGCGCACCAGAAGCTAGAGAATGCTTTTTGTCACGCAAAGCCGGAACTGATGAGTGTGACCCCCAATAGGGTTTATCTAAAATTCCCAAGTACAACAGGCGAAGGGGTCAAAGTTTTCTATGTCAGAGATATATAAATAAAGCCATATGCAGCAACCATTCCTTATGTTATCATGGATTATACAGTATCCTAGTCCCCCTTCTGTTCAGATATATATACATCTCTCTTTTAAAGAAGGAACTGAAAATGGGAAAAATTAAAAGGAGGGAAACCTGCTAACACTAGTATCTACCCCCAGTTCTCCAGCTCTAATCATTATTGCTCTCATTTTTTAAATGTTAGTATTGCCAAGGACACACTGAATTGTTCAGAGAGTGAGAAGAACATGTATGTGCATAATTACGTGCTAACAGTGATATACTGAATTATTCTGGGAGTAAAAAGTACGTGATGTACATAAATGTACACAAATACATGTAACACTAAATACAAATATGCGTAACATTAAATGTACACAAATATGTGTAACACTATGTGTAACACTAAAAGGCTGAATGTTAGACACAGTGAAGATGAAAGATCGTGTACACATATTTACACATAAAATGTGTACATTATTATTTTTACCAATGACCTAAAATCGTCTTACTGACAGCTTTCTTAAAGCTTATTAAAGTAAAAAGAAAAAGTAAAATGTGTTATAAATAATTAGGGCATTCCTTCAAAAGCACAAGTTTTCTTAAACACGGGACTTTAAAAACAGACTAAGCAGTGATGGGATAGAGTAAAAGAGTTTATTATAATTGAGGTTTAGATGACAGTGGGTTTCTTACAGTAATTTACCACATCATACATCCAAAGAATGTAATTCAAATGCATTATAAATACAAAGGAGAAACATCTCTTAGTGTTTGTTTATAAGTTACAGAAAATAGTATTTCAAATTTTTCAGTCCTTGAATGTGTAACTGCTTACACTAACTACTTGAAGGTAAATTATTTTCTAAAACTTCCCTAAGTTTGCAGAACTGAGGAGGAAATTTTGCAATAATCTTCTAAAAAGGTATACTTCCAATATTAATTTAAAGACAGCTTAACATCAATCGTATTTTTTAATTTATAATTTAAATACAATTACTCATACAAAAATTCAGCAGCCGAATACAGGCAAAACGTATCATTTTAAAAGCTCTCAAAGGTATATCAAAAAATAATTGAGAAAAAATTATTAATCATACAACAAAGAGATGAATATGTATTGAAAAATTTAGTAATATGGGCCTTGATTAAAATTAATATATATATGACCTGTCTTAACTTGGCATCAAAAAGCAAAGCAAAAACAAATGCAAAACTTTCTTTTAGGAACTTTTATATGTTCAGGAGCTACTTAATAGGATTGAGAGAAAATGGGCTGATGTATTTATTTCCACATCTTGCAAAGCTGAAAATGATATGCAGATAATGACATCACAAAGTAGGCACAAGCAGAATTTGGTTTTTAATTTGTTTTGTCTATCATGGTCTCATTTCAGAACCAAAATTACAATTAAATTAACCCTCAAATAGGTGTTGGGATGCATTAAGTAATTAAAATGGGCATTACAAAGACTAAAGTCATTTCAAAAAATATGTAATATGTTAAAATTCCATGTAGTGCCTGTAATGTAAAAACATTCTATGCAAGTGAGATTATAGCTATCCTGCACGTACATGTACGCACTTAGTTAATATGAAGCCACAAATTCATATGTTGCACTTGTGCATAGCTCAGAGAGAAAAAGCTAAAACTAGATTAGTAACGCTTGATCCCTTTGTACATGAAGTGTATCATGTAATAGAGAAATTAGATTCCACAAACTAACTTCTGCCATATATTTTTACACTATTTATAAACGTATCTGATCTTCCATATGATACATAGAGAAACTGAAATAGCAATCCACATTGTATTGTAGAATCTAATCAGGAAGCACATGTTATATTATTAATGTTTATTGATTTGTAAGCTTTATACATTCTGTCCAAATTCTACAAGTAAAAACAGCTCTGAAATCCTTTTGATCTTTCTTTTTCTACAGCTAAGGTATTTTTAGTGTTTAAATAGCAGTTGATGTCGTATCTATTGTCTTATACAGTACTGGATTCATTCCTGGTTACTATAATACTCAATTTAATAACTAATAATATTAATGCTTTTTTTCAAGCTTGGGACATATACAGCAGATAATATAAATATGTTTACTATTTTTTATGATACTATACTACTCACTATCATGAATACAAAGTAATTAACAGATAAGGTTATTATTAATGCAAACAAGAGAACCATGCTTCCCTCAAAAAGAAAAAAAAGAAATGGAACATAAACTATAAATACTCATATATTTCCTTCTAACACTATCTAGTATAGAAGACAAATAGCTAACAATAAATCATCTGTTTATTCATGTTAAATAAATTTAATATGTACATTAACTTCTGACTTACTTAAAAGTATATGGAATATTTTCCAGAGCCTATTTTGACTGTGTCAATTACCCTAGATACCAAAGTTGTTGTATTGTGTTGCTTGATGAAATAGGACATAGAGCAACCCTCAAAACCAGTATTACAAGCCTGGCAAATAGCATCACATTTGGGTGACGCACAGAATCCATCACCCTAGGGAAAAACGCATTGGGTCATAGTACAGAGTCTTTACATGTTCCATATTATTTCCACATAACGTTTTGAGATGATAGAATTGTAAACTATAAAGTGGTAGCCCATAAAATGATATACTCACAAACAGTCCGGTCCCTTAACTGCTCCTCTCAACAGAAATGAGACTTAAAAAAATGATCTCAGAAGCATTTCTTAAAATGCACTGAAAGGTGGCATTTTGATTTATAATTTTTTTCATTTAAAAAAATTCCTTAGTAAATTCAGTGCAGATATAAGTATTATGATAACAATTAAAAAAATATGTTTAAACTCCATACTCATTTCAAACTTTTAGACTTCACAATGTAGGTCATGTTAACTCCTTAAAAGATTCATATTTCAAGTACAGAGTTAATAGTTAGCACTCTAAATTCCACCATCAAAATGTGTCTGAGTATTATCTGTCTACATACATTCCATATATAAAACACACCTATAATAGCATGCACATATAATGGCAATAATTCAAACACAGCAAAGCTATCGTGAGTACTTCAAACATTTGCAGGCAATTACACTGCTAGAACTCCTCTCATATTATAGGTATTCTATGACTAGCTACTAAAAAATTACACAAATCAAAATGTGTTACCTTTGTTCAAATAATACTGCTGTTCATTATATGACAGAAAATGTCATCCTTAATCTCTCGGGAACCAAGATAGTGGTGGATTCTTGGAGCAGAAGTAGTGCAGAATGGTTTGAGGCAAAACCGAAACATATTGTTTAAGTAAACCTTAAGGGGAGGGGAGCATATGCGCAATTGATGGATTTTTTTTTTTTTTTGGTATCATCTTCCACAAAGCCTCCCACCAACCCCTCCCCACCACTTACCAGTAAACAATCTGCTGATATTAAGGGACTACAACTCTAAACACCTCCCTTTGCCTTCTTTCCTTCTTCTTAAACTTGATTGCTTTTCCCTCAGTTTTGTAGTAACAAACAATATTCATTAAATAAAAATTTATTAACAGATGCAGACATAACATGAAATATATATTTGAAAACTTTGTAATAAAATGAATCTAGATTTACTCCAAGAAACTTTCACTATGCTGATGTGAACAACATATACATTAAGTTCCTTAAGTTTTTCCAAACAAATCTTTAAAGGAGCCATGAGCAAAAGAGGAATGCCTATGATTTGAACTAGAGTCTGTAACTCTCGCAAGAAAAACCGAGAAGCCTATCAAGTAAATCAAAACTGTCAAATTTCTAAGCAGAGAACACTTCAATACCCCAAATATGCAGAACGCTTTTTATAGTCATAAATGCCTTAAAGACTAAACTCTTCCTTGTGTGACAATTTTCACTATATATATTATTCCTTAAATGTGCTCTAGGTAAGGAAGGAAAAAATCTATCAGGAACAATTTGGGTTAAAAGCAAAGTCCACGACAAGTAACCATAAGATTTAAACCTCAGGAAAAATTCACCAAAGAAAAGTTGAGACAGTACTTAGTTGTGACCCACCGAATGGGGCAGAGGGCCCCATTTCTGGGTGGCGTGTCTTTCTCCAAGGAAGGGAACACTAGCACAAATCCTTTTGCCCCCTAAAAATATTTTCCTACTTGCCAGCTTCTGAAGTTGCCCTGATGTCAATCAACATCACCAAGATGTCTCTTAACTGGTGAAAGTTGTTTGCCTGTGCAAAGTCAGAAAGAAAGACATGACTATTTATATTTTTTTTAAAAAAAGGAAACTATAAATACTGTTTGATAAATAGGGTTAAAAAAATCATCTAAAATTGTAAGAAAAAAAGAGCGGCCTGTAGAAACGCACAAAAAAATAAAATTAATGTTTTCAAAAAAAAAATGCATTTTTGTAAAGTTTCATCTATTTTCCTTCCTCTGCACATAAAAATGATTAATGTCACATTTAAACTTCCACATTTTAGGCTCTTGCTAACAGGTGTCACATTCTTTATATAAACATATTCTTTGACCTGTGGCCATTGATAACCTTAATTAATTAATCTCCATTGAAACAAAAACAAATGGGTTTCTTTTTCCAAATAAGAAAGAAATAATGCAACGCAAATACCCACTCTCCCCAAAACCCAAAAACTGTTTAAGTTACGGTAACCTGAAATGCACCAGCCATCACAAAGAGCAATTGGAGAAATCCAGCAGTGCTCAGCAGGAAAGATTTTTAATAACAGATTGAAAAACAAGAATAAAAATAACTGCATCAACAGAGCCTTTCTTCCTCAGGCCACAAGCCCGTTCTTACTTGAACTTTTTTTTTTTTTTTTTAAATGGCATTTTGGCCACTAAAACCAATCCAGAACATTATTAAAAGTTAAAAGCTACCAATTACTTCTGTCTGTTCTTTTAAAGCAAAGTTTGGCATTACGTCAGTTGGTTTAAAGAAAACAAGAAAGAGAGAGAGAAAGAGTAGGAGAGAAAGTTTCCTGCTTGTATAAACTAAACCACCAGGGAAGGTGTCTAGCCACTTGTAAAGTATTTACTGCAGGTTTTTAAAAGCTAGAAACATTTTAAAAATTAAAAGTTTTCTGTTATTATTTTTAGTGAAACACACTTAAGAACGACAAGTGTATCCTTAATGTCTTCTTCGGGGTGTCTTAATGTTATGTTTGTATTTCAGTTATAACTTGGAATCAGAAAATGATTTCAAATGATGCTCCAAATTTGAAGTACATAGATAATTTCACCTTTATTTTTGCTATTTTTTGGATTTGTGCTCTTGGAAAAGGAAAAAAAAAAAAAAAGTGGGATAGCAAAAAGTAAACCGCTACAATAATAGCTGCTATATGCTGCAGGGACCAGTCGAGTTTCCTCACCTAACTAATGCTTAACAATAAAATGGTTTTCACCTGTAGATCCTACTGCAACTTCAGAGATTCCTGAAGCTCAAAGATCTCTTTCTAACCAAAGTCAACTTCTACATTATTATGTCCATCAGAAAACCAAACTAAAGGCCAAATTCAGTTCTCAGGAACAGGAGAAACACTGAGCGCTGTGACAGCTCAAAAAGTGATCATAATAAAATTGAAGATATTATTTATAAATGTCATATATAATTAATAGAATATTTTATACAAACAAATGACTTTGGCCCTACTTACATTGGAGGATAAATTTTGAAAAGTGGTTATATCCTCTGCAGCACTGTTTATACCATTGAACAATGGTATAAAACAAGATTTGGTATTTTACCATATTTACTTTAATCCACTGGTTACAGCTTTCCGGAGACAAATTATTTTTAAAATTACACTAAAACAAACCTCTACGTTATTTTTTAATGTAAATAATCGCAAAGTATGTTAGTCTTTTCCACACACGACAAGTACTCTTAAACAATTAGATTAAATGTCTACTTGGCAAAGGCTAGAAGAGCATCTTTATAGTATATCTAAGGGGGACTCAAAAATTCCATAAATCATAACTATGATAGTAACAAAGAATTTACTTATTTCTGTATAATAACAAAAGATAAATGTCACTTTCACAGAGAAGCCATCACAGTAAAACCAAGTCTACGTATGCTGTCATTAATTTCCTAAAACTTCAAGAAATGGTAAATAAGGATGATAAATGAGTACACAAGACTCAGAATTAGTTATCAATGGTATTAGCAGTTATCATCAGCAAAAGAGGGAGAAAAAGAAACCTATTACCTGAAAGCTTGACCTAGCAAAGATGAACAACAAAATACGAGCCCATAAAACTTGCCTGTTTTTATCAAATTGATTGTAACTTGTGAGCTGCAATATTTGGGACAGAACTGTCTGAGTTTATAGTTTTCTCTGCCTGCTAAAAACAGATGCAGACTACCACACTAGCTGTCCTGCGGAAACTAAATTAAGGAAAGGCAAATACCAAGTGGAAAGTTGTCAGCCTGTTGAATGAATGGCTTCATTTTACACACTAGAGAAATCTTAATAAGAATATGTTTTAATGTAAGCCAGTCATTTTATTTTAAGTTCATCACTTATTACAAAAATAATCATTCCTTTAAATCAATTATAGACACCTGCCCCTAACTTTCTTAAAGTCTATTTTGTTTTACACACAATAGCACAGTGTTGTTACGTTATCGTTGCTATCAAAAGAAGAACTGAAGTTAAAATAGAATTATTTTAAAATATTTGTGTTATGAAAAACGTTTAAAGGTCAGTTATCAGTATTTATTCCAATTTCAAATTTGAAATAAAGTTCCAGTTCAAAAGCAATTTGCTGCAAGTCCTCTGAAAACTTTCAGTAATGTTTATTTAAAACAAAGAAGGTAAGACAAGAGTTTATAAAAAACATACACTCTTTGGTTGCTTTCTTCATAAAAATGTACAGATCATTAATCACATATTGTAGGTTGTATATCTGTACACACATACACATATACATCTAATAACAGTAGTGATAATAGTACCGTCACTGAAACACTTAACCGTAAAAGCTGCTTTTCTACAGATGCATCCATTTCCCTGTTTTAAAGGTTTTCCTTATGAATAAAGATTTCCGTATAGGAAGAGACCTATATGATGTAAATCAGAATAAACTCAGGAGTGGTAGGTGACTTAAACAATACTGAAAATACGGTAGTAGTATGTGTAACTCATTTAGGATTAGCACACTGATTCGGATCCTAAACTGGTTTTCAAACACGTATGCAGAAAATGTTATAAAATCATTTAAAATATTAGTCATTGAAATGCTAAGTTCTAAATTTAGTTGAGACTTCACAGCTATTATGACACTTTTCTCCTTACCTTCAATGTTATCTTTAATAGACAAAGGACAAAACCTAAATAGTAGCACAGACCCTCACAGCATCTAGAATTCAAAGGAGTGACAAGCATTGTGTTAATAACTTGCTACTTTCCACCACTTATTTGAAAAGTGTTAGACTAGCTATTATGTATGTAAAAGCAGTATACACATATATATCCTAACATATAACATACATAGCAGGAAGCCATAAACATCAGCTCGCCGGTGGTAAATAACACTTTGCCAACAGAGCACTGATGAAGCTTCAGAAGGCCTCACATTTAGAGAAATCAAGTTATAATGTTGGCATTAAGACTGTATTTCCCCCTCAGGAGTTTTATTTTCACATTATTAACATCCAGAAATAATCGTCAAACTTTAGGATGTTACTAGCTAGCCCTGTATATTAAATTGAATCTAGAGATGTTTTTATCCAAAGGTGTAGCTTTAAAAGGAAGTTATGAAATCCAAGGAGAGAGAAACTCTAAGAATATGTTTGACTTGTTAAGATTA